CTTAAAGGCTTTTCACTATAGTTCCGTGATTATTGCCAATGCAGTGAGGTGTTTGTTCATCTGGTTTCTAAAGAAACATTGAGAAATGTGTCTGCATGGGAATAAGAAGAGTAACCCAGTTAGCAATAAGTGAAACCAAGATGCCAGGGCTGAATGTATTAAAACTCATCAGTAATCATAATGGTTGATCATAATGGTTAAGTTCCAGAGGAACTTCATTTACTCAGTGTACATGGTTAATTTACAGATAAGGTGAACATTATCTTAAATCTTATTTCATTTCATAGCAATGAAGAAAATGTAAATAAATGGAACTTTGGTGGTTTTAAAATCACCAGGCATTAGTGCTGTGCTTCCTTGGCTTCTTTAAATATATGCATTTAGTTACCATAGTAAACAAGTACTCATCTAGACCAATTCCATATTTCTAGGATTTACTTTTTTTTCTCTCAGTTATTTTGTGACACAGCTAATTAAAATATACTGTTTTGTTCCTCCTTTGAATGTAATAAAACCCTGCCTTATTCTTTCTGTCACTTTAATCCCTCTTTCTTTTCCATTGACACATTTCTAATACCTCTTCAGACAGGCCAGGCACTGCTGCTTCATCTGTACCAAATCCACAACGCTTAACACCTTTTGACAAAATGGATACATCCTCCCTGTGGCTTGGAATTGATATATGCTGTCAAAAAGGGTTTTCCGAATGGTCTCTCTTTGTCACCTTTACCAGATTTTTATTCTCTGTTGTAGGAATGTGCAGTTTAATGTTGCGTTTCAAATCATTTTTGGCTGGAAAAGTGTGTAATGGAATCAGGGTGTCCCCTGAATACTCCTAACAGTAGGAGATGCCTCTTTGTTTTCAACACCAGAATCCCAACAGACCCTTCACAGCAGTGAAATTACACTTTTGACCTTGTTCACTAAAGTGTTTCTTTCTCTGTATGATTAAATGAGAGTAACTAACAATAGCTTCCTCTGAAATGTATGAATTTCCCTCTGTTTGTTTCTCTTAAGAAACTCAGAAAGGATGCTGTGCAATTCTCTGCTGATTGTATTCTCTACAAAAGAAAGAGAGGAAAAAAGAAGAAAAGCAGCCTCGCTCCTTCAGGGAGGGGTGGCTGTTTTATCCATATTAAAAATGCAAAAGTAATTGATGTATTGATATTTTCCCTAGGCCACTGTGGTGTTGCTACATCTCGAGTGCGAGAGCACCACTGCAGCGCACAGATTTTTACCCTTTAGTTGCTTCATTTACCACATATTTTAAGAGGGGATGTTTACTAAAGCACAAGATATTGTTTTAAAGTATCAAATATTAATATAGAAAATAAGCAAATACTGTTCTGAGTGAATGCTGAAATACTGAAAAGATCACTTCGTTGTACACCACAGTCTGTGAAATTATACCAATCTAAAAGATAGATGCAGTGTTTTATGTAGATTTGCATGCAGCCTGTTAAGCTCATGTTTCTTTTCATTTGTATGTGACTTGGTGGATGTAGCCTGCTGCAGGCTGCACTGTGACTGTCAGCCCCATCTCACACACTGAAACATCAACGCATCAATTGCTCCACATATGGTTATTCAGAGCAGGAATTTGCTAAATCAGAAGATCCTCAAAGTGAGGTGGCCAGAAAAGAGAAAATCAGATTTTGTTTTTCCGCTTTAGACTACTTTGGCTGTGTTTTGGGGATATTTTTCAATGAATTCCTGTTTCCTGTAAATATTCACAAGCTCCACACTGGTGAATATACTTTGTTTTGTGCAGTGTGCACGTGTCTGAAATGCAAGTGCAGCCCTGCATTTTGTGTGGGGGGGGACCCTGCAATGGATGATTGAATAACTAGATTCAAAAGAGGGGAGGAGACATTGTGAAATTCTTGTTTTCAAAAGGACTCAAAAAAATACACGACTTAAGCCTTCAGGGCATGGGTGCCATTATGAACAGGGTTTTTGCTCACCCGGTGAGCAAACGGTGCTACTAGCACCACGGTGCTACATGGAGAAGGCATCAGAGCAACAGGACTTGGAAGGCAGCACACCCAAAGCTGTAGATCTGTGGCTCCAGACCTTCTCTCCTGCAAACAAACAAACAAACAAACAAACCAAAACAACAACAACAAAAAAAAAAAACACTAAAAAACAAACAAAAAAAGCAACCAACTTTCATGCTTTCTTTATTACTTCTTCACTGCTGATGTAAACTAGTGATTGGTGTGGCTCTGAAGTAACCTTGTCATCGAAAAATATTTTGTTGGTTGTTGACATACTTGTTCCATACAAACATGAATCACCCAGCTTCCTTTGGCAGGCTTGCCCTGTGGCCGTGCTGTAATGTGTTTCACCACTGTGATTGAAATTAAAATGTCACCATTAAACATGGCAGTCAGATGCTCCCTGAGCACTGCATCTCTCCAAGTTCTCTGGCTTCCTATGTAGCTATTTCTGACAGTTTAATAAGGTGGCTTTATTCTGGTATAAAATAATATGTTCGTACTTCCACAGTGCTCAGGGAGTTAAATGCTTTCAGAGCACTATTTCATTATGTGCATACATCTTTCATCTGTGGCAGAAGCAACAACGCTCACGTAACGTGGTGTTGCTTGTTAGTCCATTAGGAAGTGTAAAGTTAAAATGAATTGTCCTGCCAAACTGCACAGAGCGGCTGCCGGAAAGCAGCTGCTGGGCTGTTCCCTGCACCAGGCTCTCTTGGTGGAGCAAGTAGTGGTGCAGGGCTCTGGAGACTGCTCCATGGGAAAAGCCTTCAGACCATGCTTGACAGCTTCGCTGCTCCAGCTCTGTTATTGCCAGGTCACTGAAAGGGCAGTTCAGTCTCTGAGTCCAACTAGGGGTTGATATGGTACCTCTTAAATCACAAAAACCCCACTGAGGGTGGCAGCTCCTGGGCCGGGCTTTCAAGCCTGGCTTCTCTAGTGAGGCTGCCAACAAATATGTCCGTTTTTGTCATATATACAGTCACAAATATCCCTTACTGTCATGAAACTACTAAGCAGCTGGCGTGGAAAGCTAACGAAACTGCTAACAGGATAACGAGCCCAGCAGAGATGAATTCATGCCACTGACCTGTATGTGTACATCTACATCCCTCCCGCTGCTAATGTCTAGAGCTGTTTAACTCCTCAGATCAAATCATTTCACTCTTATGAACAGATGTAACTTTTGACTTGAATCAAGTCCAACTGCTGAAAACATTAATGAAAAACATAAAACTGAGGCTCTGTTTAATCAGCTATTAACATCACTGCCTTATTTTCTCCCCACCCCCGCAAAGGTTTTCTTGTGCTGGGTTGTACTTCTCATCCCAGGTGGCTGCAATTTCTAGTGAAAATAAGTTGAGCCATGAAAGGTTGACCCACTCGCCTCTGAATTGCTTTTTATATGATGTTAGTCCCGCAGGGCCCAATTCTACCCACAGAAGTGAGAATGATAGCTATCAATGTATATCGTAAGTATGTCAGTGTACACAAAGAAAAAGATGAACCCCGGACTTCAGTGGTCTTTAAAATACAGATTTCTCATGAAATGGTGATTAAATAGGAAGCAAAGGACGATTAAAAAATTAGCTTGACACACTAAGCAGTTAAATCAATTCCACTTCTTCTAGCGCTGCTCAGACCTGAACCTGTTTCTTCTTTACCACATGAATCTTAGAAATGCTAGCAGTTCCTTTCCTTTGTAGTAATGCTCCTTCTATTTGCATACTAGCAATATCAGATGATCATTCAGAGACTGTGTTAGTCCAATATTATCTCCTGAACACTTGGGCAGTTAAACAGTGCCACTGAGTTTGCAAAGCTGGTTTGTGTCAGGGTTGCATTTTGACTTTAGAGCTTAAATTTTCAGTGTTTGTATGCCTACCATAATTCTTGGATGCATTGTAGTGCCATCAGAATGCCTGGCATAAAAACAATACCAGCAAATTGATCAAATTATCAAGAGAAGTAAACTTGCATGAAAATGAGACTAGAAGATCGCAGAAAGGAAATAAGAAAAAACATGTAGAAACTGGAATTCAAGTGCCAGTTACTTGCTTTATCTGTGCTGAATTCTATGCAAATTCATGAGGAGAGGTGGTTTGGTGTGCTGCTATTACCCAAACAGTGAACTAATGGCTCCAAATCAGTATTAAGATCTCTGGGATGTTCATCCAGCTGTTCGAAAGCACCAGGAATTACTATGCTTACAAGGCTGTGCAAATAATAAAGTAATATCATTTTGTGAGTGAATACATGACCAACATATGCAGTAGGAACACTGTATAAATTTTGCCCCTCTTAACTGTGTTTCATGCAGGGAAATTACACCAGAGAAGACTCAAACCATATTTTGCAGGCAATGGAGTAGTTTAAGAGGCAACAGACAGGTGTTGGAAAACATTTCTTCTCTGCCATTTGCAGAAGTGCATGTGAAATCTCTCTACTGATCTATAGTCATTCCATTACCTGTCTGCCTCTGGCAGGTAGCTAGTTGAATTTGTGTTAAACAGGATTTTCTTTGCCATTTCCATTTGCTGTTGGAAAAGAAATGTTCTGACATGACATATGACCAATCAATAATTGGAAAGAGCTTGCTTTAGTCATTTGAAGCCAGTAGTATAGACAGTGTCAGCCCCAGCTGGGATTAAAACCTGCAAAGAGTAGTTCTGCAATCACTGATTCTGCAGCATCTCCTCTGGGTGTCTACATTTCACTAATAAGGATGCCCAGCAGACATCAGCTGAAATAACACTTGCCTTTGTTGCTTGGATGTTTTTTTGTGCTCTGAAATGAATTTGGCATATACAAATATACTTTGTTATCCAGCCTAAAGGATGCACAGCAGGAATTGTTATCCTGTCTGTTGATAACTTCAGTAGGAAAGAAATTGCTTTATTTTACTATGACTCCAAAGAGAATAAGTGTCTGACAGTACCCCCTGGTTTTCTGGGTGTTTTTACATTTTTCCCCTCTACTAACAGTGCTTTATTACTCCTGCAGGGCTATAATCATCCGAAACGGTGAAGTCATTCCAATGTCTTCAGAATTCACTCCAGAGACCGAACGCCAGAGACTTCAGTATCTGGTAAGAGACTGGAGAACCAAATCAGGCGCTGCTGCTGATGAGATGAGCAGTGCCCAGGAGTGTCTGAGTTTCAGACCCACATGGTTGAGTTACTGTGGCTCAGTGGAGGACCACATGTCTGCTGAACACCAATGACTGATTATGCATGTATGTATGTGTTTTAGCCATCAGCAAAAGTGCAGAAAAGCCTGACAATGCAAATACTGATGAAAGGAGTCTTACCTTTTTTGTAGAGGCCATTGGTGTCTGTGCTTTTGTACCTTGTTCAGCTGCTGACCTTCAGCAGCTTATTGATGCTGGATAACGAGAGCTCAGACATGCAGCTAACAAGCCACAGAGGTATTTCAATACATCCCAGTGTTTGTGACAGTATAAAGTACGTAAGAGTGCTCTTCGCACACATGTGAACAATATTGTTGGGTTTTATTCATTTGCTGTAATAGTATGCCAGTTGAGCTAGGTTGGGGAAAAGGTGTTCATCTTAGAGGTGATCTGAGTGAGTGTTAGTAGCTGCAGCGTAGGGTAGGTGAAGAAAGACTTATTTGCTGTAGCAGCAGCCATACAGCTGTGACAGTACAACTACCCAAGAAGATGCAGGATGCTTTATCCATCAAGTCATGTTGGCCAATAAGCTGCCTAAGAAACATAAATGCATGATGTTACTTTTTATGCAGATGATCATGTTGTGGTTTTTTGTTTTTTGAGTTTTTCACTGATTTTCAGATCAGTTGGTTGGAGTTCTTTGGCTGTTCATCAGAAGGCTGTTCTTAATGCGTCTGAGAGATTTATTTTCTGCTTCCTCTGATCTCCTGCTTTTTTCCCCTGGAAATTCAAGAATAAGACAAGACAGTGTCACTATTTGCATTTTCTGAAGCAGGATGGACAGGCCAAGGCTGGAGGCATTCCTTGTTCTTCATGCATCTGTTTTCTTTAGTCTGACTCAAGAGTTGTAGTTTGAAACTAAGTAAAATGGTTGAAGGGGTGGTGATGGAAGATTTTAAAGGAAATGCAAATGTTTCCACAACCGTCACATTTGATTTTTAGTCAGGTTCACTGGCTTAAAGCTGAAAATTTCAGAGGAAACGCTACTTTAGGAATATTCATATTCAGAGAACCAAGTGGAAAAGAGGCCTAATAAATATTTACACTCCTGTTACATTTAAAATAATTTGTTTGCTTTTAAAATAAAAAGGTATCTTTGGTATCTAGGAAGTCTGTAGGAAATACGAGATAAAACATTGCCTACAAGGGATTTTTTTCTCTTTTGATGTCCTTTCTGGCTTGTATTTGAAAACAGGAGCTGATCTGAAAAGCATTTCTTCTGTTCCTTTTGGAAATTTCTTTACCTTTGTTTGTTTATTTTGTTTCAGTATGTAACAAATATACCAGGGCTATGGGTATCATGTTCAAAGAAAATACATGCAAGACAGCAAGAGCATGAAACAAAATTAGAGATGATTTCAAGTATAACATTTCATAAGTAACATTTTTACTTTAGTATTAAAAAAAAACAAAAACAACAAAGAACCAAATTCCTTACAAGACTGATATAAATGTTACACTCTGAAGTGATATTACTCTCCACTCTTGCATCTGTCCTGTTGATTAGATCTCTATTTACTCATCACCTTGGGCTGTCCCCTGATTCTTCTGTCTTTCTGCTTTATTCACACATTTTGTTGTTCCTATCTGAAACTTACTTGCTTTGGATTTATTTTCTTATTTGCAGCTGAAGTTAAGTTTCTCTGTTCCAAACATACGGAAATGTTCTTCTTGAACGTTAGAAAGAAAGTCAGTTAATCATTTTAGCATAAATATTTCACCTGGTAAATGCAGGGGTGATGTTTCAGCTCAGGGCTGTCTATGCTGAGAAGTTGTTGCAAAGGGAAATGGAAGGTGTGAATTTACAGCAGGCAGGTTACTGAGTATTGGCTGCCTGCGAAGATTCTTTTAGTGTAATCAGAGGGGGGAAGCCTTCTTCTGTCTTTAGAGCCTGCTGATTATCTTGGCCACACAGGACATTAGTTTTGGTTAACTGATGTCTTCTGCACTCATCCTCTGTCTTCAGGGCCTTAGCTTCCATACATAAAGAAATCTGCAGGAAAAGGACCTGTTTAGGCCATGTAAAATTTATTGCATGAAGTCCTCCGGCCCAGTCTTAGATACAACTGTGTTCCAAATAGCAACAGTTGAAAAACTAGGGAAAAAACAAATGCTTTCTATACCTAGGTCATATTTTAATGCAGTTTTATTGACATCTAATGCAGGCAAGGAAGCCAAGATGAACAATGCAGCTTCCACCAAGCCCACCTCTTGCCCTGCCAGGCAGGGGGGTTGGAACTACATGATCCTTGAGGTCCCTTCCAACCCGGGTGATTCTGTGATTCTGTGATTTATTGCTGTGTATCCAAGAGTGACCTCCAGGCCTCGGTCATGGCAGGTTCAAAAGAACAAATTCACTAACCAGTCATTCTGGATGGCACACAGCTCCACAGGGACTCCCACAGGCTTCTGGCGGGCTACATGAGTGTGGGCGAGGTAGAAACAGACTTTGCACCAGGGAGCTTGCAGAGGTGTTGCACAGAAAGGCATAAGGAGATCCTTAAAGTCTTGAAGGCCTTACACAAGTATCCACTTGACTCTTTGGCTTCCCCAGGCGGGTCAGGGCTCACGCTGTTTCCCCTTCACTAGCATGCTTTCACAAATCTCCTTTGGTTTTGAATTTTGGTTTCTATCTTTTCTATTCAGCATTCTGGCAGGATATCTTATATACTGCCTACTCTAGTAAGGCTCTGGCTTCCTGTATCTGTGTATCCTCAGGGAGAACTCAATCCATTATTGACTGGGAACTGCTCTGAGATGTGCAGCAGTTGTGTGGGCAAATATTTTGAGAAACAATTCTTCATCTATCTTCTGAGGAGACTGTTAATTTCAGTCATGACAGTGTAACCTGCAGTATTAAACTGTATAGATTTTGTTACTTATTCCCTCGGAAAACGTGGGTGCTCTGTGTTTGGCACCACATGTGCAAAGAGAATGGGCAGGCGTGAGTTCAATGAGAACTTGTTCTTGTTTCATTGTCCAGGTGAGGGTTGAGTAATTGGGGAACAGAAAGAGGTGGTGAACCTAGATATCCCAAGTGTAAGTTAGTCCCTAAGTTACAGGTTGGATGTGACTTAATTCTCTAACAATTCATTCAACATAGCACTGCTTTGACCGTCTGTCGCACTGCATGATGCTGAGGTAAAAAAGCATTTGTCTTTTTGTAACAAAGTGAGGACCAATCCAGGGATGGATTCATCTTCTACTTCCTTCCTTTCTTCTACTCCCACCTCCTTTAGTTATCTCCGTTTGGCTTAAATGTGAACCTGGCCATATGGTGACAACTGGATGCATTGTGCAGTACATGCTGTTGTGAGAGGTATTCTCAGGTAGTAAAATATCCTCATGGAGAAAATGACGTGATACAGTAAGAATACTACTGTAAGGTATGGATGACACATGGAAAAACATGTACAGAAATACCAAGCAGTGCAGCAGAACTGCTAGTTGCCACATCAGCTGTGGAGGAGCTGAACAGGGCATCGGCAGATGTGGGAATAGAGTGAAGGAAAGAGACTTGCAAGGTACAATAAGATATGCACGATGTTCCCTGCCACCTAATTAACGAGCGCGCTAGTGCGTAAGTCTGGGTTTATCTTAATTTCGTATTTGCTTTGCTGAACACTGGGAAACACAGCAGGAAGTAAATAGCCTTTTGAAAGAAACGTGACTAATATTTCCCTGAACAGACTCCATTTCATACAGCTAATGTTGAATGTACTACATCCAGCCACAAAATACACCATAAAATGGCTGAGTACCAAACATATGATGCAAACTGTGCCAGATTTATGCCAAAAAAACTGTAGCAGCTTCTGAGAGAAAAATGATGGAAAATATTCCTGTTTCATAACGCAGAATAACAATGTTGTCTGAACATGCCTCATAAGGATACAGAAAGTGTTTGATAGTCACTGTTTTTATTACATTTTAAGTTCTCTGAATGATGTTTCTAATCTGAGGTTCTTACAAATCGTGACTAAACAAATGAAAAATTAAAATGTGATGCCTCATCATAGCTGAAACTCTGGTTCTTAGCTTGTGCTTATGTTTTTTTTTTTTGTTTTTTTTTTTTTAATCTGTTCAAGGGATTTCTTAGTGCCCCTTTAGCTACTTGAGAAAACTGCAGATTTTCAAAGAGATGTTTTCATTTATTCTTTGGTTCAGCATAGTTTGGTAGGGATGGAAAGAGAGAACAACCCTGCCTTGTAGTAAATGGAGAACGGTTCTCAACAAACTCAACTGAAAGTCATAGCTGTACTCTTTTCTTTATAGAATTACAATGAAGCATCAAGAACAACTGTTAAAAAAAAAAAAAAAAACACAAAAAAAAAAAAAAAAAAAAAAACAAAAACACAAAAAACCACCTGTCCAAAAAAAAAAAAAAAAGAAAAAGAAAAAGAAAAAAAAAATTCTTCACATAAGAATTCAGCTCACGGCACCAGAAGGTTCCAAATTGCTCTTTTCCCCTTGTTCCAGTGATGCCAAAAATATTAGAATCAAGTTAAGATCCCTAGATTGTAAATCAAGCATTGAGGCTTGGCTGCGGAAGAGAAATCTTATTTGAACATTAGCAGTCCTGTGGTAACTCTGCCAGCTTTATTAATCTTATTTCACTTGTGACCTCAGACTTTCCATCTGAGTAAATCTTTATGAAATGCAGTCTCTCCCAATTGCTTTCCCTTTTCAATAAAGGAAATTCTTGTTTTCAAGGGGAAAAATGCTAAAGCCTGTAAGTTTATTTCTTCTGAACCCATGATCCGGCCTAATAAGTAATCTCATAATCTGAGTTAAATATCTCCATTTTCATTTCAGGTCTTGGCGGTTTTTGCTTTCAGTAAGTCTTTTTTCACAGATAGGTAACACTATTCTTTACCTAGAAGTACTTTGTAATGATTTAATCAAGATAGGCTATTTATCTTCACAAGTGAACTGAATTGCACCTTCTAAACATATTGTTGAGTTTATAAAATCATAGACTAGGAAGAACAAATAAGATAAAAAAATGCTATGTGTAGAATACAAAAATCATTAGAGATGTTGCAACATCTTTCCAACTTGAGCAAAAATAAATTCAAACTTTACATGTGTTTTTATATAAAGAATCCTGAGTTCTGAAGTATGGAAAGCCTCATCTCGTCTAACATTGCTTGGCAACTCAGAAGTCAGTTCTGCTCCTCAGACATTTCTGTATTGAGTAGCAGCAATCCAATTAGATGGCCATAGAAGTTTAGGTGCAGAAGGGAACCTTGGATGCCTGTAGATTACAGGAGGAAAAAATGTAATTCCCTGAACTGTGCAGAGTGAATCTGATGGAGCTCCCATTTCAGGAAGGGATCACCATGTCAAGATCATACTTGTGTGCTTAAAAGCTGCCTCTTGAAAGCAGAATCCAATCTTGTCAGCTGCACAGAGCATCTCCTTCAGCCCCGTCTCAGCTGAGCTGGGAGGTGTTTTGTGAAAGGATGCCTGGCAAAGGGAGCAGAGGCAGGCTGATCGACGGTTAGCACTGTGATGTACTGAGCCTGATCCAACTCTTATTAAATTGAGTGGGATCAGGTTCAGCCCTTAAATGCAGGAAATATTTTACTGTGAACTATCTGTATGATAGCTGCCAGGTAGATCAATAAGGGCTTCCACTGCTTCCTGCTGCTCACCTTTGATGAGTGCTAGATTTATGACAAACCCAGCAACTAAAGCCAGCTCATTTGATCTGCCCTGATGGCAACTGCTGCTGAAGATAAGACAGACGTTATTGCCTTAACTGGCTGGATAAGGAAAAAGAGACACCTGCAGAAAGGTTGAGAAATGCTACTCTTTCTATTCCCTAGCCAATTTGTCTATATCTTCAGAAAAATTCACAGTGTGGCTTATGTTGGGAGGAAAGGATTGTTTATGCATTTATTAAAGAAAAACAAGTAAAGTTTATTTCCAAAGGAAAAAATATGGTACGTCTAAGGATAACCTGTCAGGTGATCTGTGTACAAAGTGTGCAGTGGACAAAGTTGAAGTTGCCTCAAGCTGTGTTGATGGTGTTCTCAAGCTGTGAGGTGCTCAAGCCTTGGGTTTGGTGGAGCCAACTTGAGCTCCACATGTACGCCCTCCAAGTCTTTACTTGCTCAATGGCTTTGTCATTTGATTGTTCCTTTCTCTTAAGTCATCAGCCTGCAAAAGGAGATGTTCTGCTTTATGAAACCCTGCAGACTCCTTCAGGGTCAGTGGTGAAGAGTACTTCAGTAGTCACAGCTGGTGAGAACGGGTGAGAAGGAATGAAAGGATTTTAGGAGGAGAGGGCTGCTAAACATAAGACCACTACCAGACTCCAGGTAGCATGGGAACTAGTGTATGTGCACCTTGCTGGAGCAAATCTTGTTGTTGTCCTTGTTTGAAAAGGAGGAAAAAGGAAAAGAAAAAATAAAACGTGTGTGGGAAGGGAGTGAGAAGGGATAGTAGTGCTGCCTCAGTAATAACAGAGGATGTTTTATAATCTTCATGTGGTATCTGTGGCTTGATTTTTACCCACAGGCTTACATGCAGCCCCACTTGCTGGGAAATGAGTTCACACATTTAGAGTTTCCACGGAGGGTGCAGCGCAAGGAAGTTGGAAAGAGGATGCTCTACCGTGACTTCAACATGACTGGCTGGTAAGGATGTGCCCTTCTCAGCAAGAGGTCAGCCTTTTCCCCAGCATATGCCTGCTTTGTACACATCTGTGAGTAAACTGCATCAAAGGTGGAGGTGTACACCTTTCTATTGTAAAGAAAGGTATTGTCATCTTTCAGATGTATTTTGCTTTTAGAAATTAACATTTAAAATGAGTTGACCTGCCTCCACAGCTCAGACCACAGATCATTTTAGTACATGAGCACTCAAAGAAGAGAAAACTCTCAAGAGGGTAGATATGCCAGGAGTATTCCTGAAAGACAGATAAACAACTTTCCTATCTTGCAAGTAACATCTTACAGAATCTGGATCAGTGGGTGACCATTCCTTTGCATGCAGTGATTGCAGAAGAAAAGTGCTGCTTCCCATGCTCCACTGCAGCTAACACCTCATTTGGGTAACCCTTGAGGGCCTATACAAATAAAAGTTATAGTCATCCTAAAATGAAAGATTTGAATGAACAGCACTGACTTGATGAGGTGAAGATAGAAAGAGTGATGAGTTTTTTGTCACTAGACAAACCTAATGTTTCTTTCTTTGTTTCTGTCAGTGTCTTCATTGTTTTGTGCCAGTTCAAGAGGCTCTTTCTCAAGTGACTCTCACTAAGAAAAGTCCAATGCCTTGTCATTGAGTACTGTGTATGTGACGTATAAAGGCAAATGTCTTGTATATGCAAATGGCTTTTGCTTCTCTGCTGTTTGTGTTTCAGCATCGTAAGAAAATGTTCATAGAGGAAAGGAGGGGATGGAGAGGGTAAAAAAGCCTGAGCTCTTGTAGATCTGGAGACTTGCACGCACAAGTACAACTGCAACTCCACGTGCTTCTGATTGTCCCATGCTTTGGAGACCGTAAATATAATGATATTTTAATGGCAGAGTAATAACCTAAGTTTATTAATATAATCTGGAGTGTTTGTACTGTACAGAACATATTAATCTGGGAATACTCATAATTGTCCATCAGCTTGAACAGCTGCTAGTAGAAATATGCAATCCTTTCCTGAAAATAGCGGCTGCACATTTTGAAAAGGCTGCAGGCAAAAGCAAAAGAATGGGAACAAAATGAGAACATTGGCCCAACTGAGTCTGAACAGTAAAATATTTGAAAGGCTCTCAGTTTCTGCAAAGGGAGATTTTTCTTATTAAGTACATCGATCTCTGAAGCATCAGAAAGGAATGGCTTCATGTAGACTTCCAAAAGATTTTTCAAGATGTGAGGTGCAACTTGGAAGGGGGGGAGGAAGCCAAATTACACAACAAATATTGTGGATGGATATGTAAGTAGCTCCAAAAAGGAGGGTAGGAGCAGAGTTATTTAAGTGGTTGAAAGATAAAGAGAGTTTCACCAGGTTCACAGGAGTTGTTTGGATTTTCCTCAGTTGGTTAGAGGTCTGGAAAGGAAATACAGTTAGAATGACTGAACTTGCAGTATTTGCAGGTGACACAGCTCTTCTATTAATAAACAAAAAAGGTCTCTGAGGAACTGTGAAGGATTAAATGATTTACACAAATGGGCATCACACTGATCAAATTTGGTGTTGATAAATACCAGGAAAAGGATGAAAAATAACTGCTTTTTGAAAGTAGAAACAGCAAGAGCTGTTTCAAACACAGCAGTGAGAGTCCTACTTACAGGACTGTTGCTTTTTTTTTTTTTTCTTTTTGCAGTAAAAATCACAAGCAGGATGCTGGGATGCATACAATGTTGGAATGGTTAAAAATTAAACAAAGGGATAAGGCTGCATATCGGTTTGTTCCTTGCTTGTGAATATGTGCACAGCACTTCACCTTATTCAGAATGGTTATTGCATAACTAGCTTGGCTTTAGAAGAAAGATAAATAGGAAGGAACATGTTTTATATGTAGAATAGCAAGTAGAAGATATTGGATAAGTCTAAACTGATTGCAGATTTGTTTTGATGTATTGTATTTCAGTACTGGTGTGTGAACTCTGTTAACTCTAGCATATGGCAGGGGGGAGAAGTGAGTTGATTTTGCCTGCTGATTTCTCTGAATTTCCTGAAGTGTGGGACACACATTGATCCAGTTACCAATTCTAATGTGGTCAGTGCAAAGATTACCACTGGTTTATCACAAATACGCTTAGCTGTAAGTAGTTGTTCTGGAACAAATACAAAAATTGTGACTTGAAAATTGAAGTCTGAATTTACCTCAGTGTTTTCCCAGAAAGGGTTGGCTTGTGCCAAGCAAAAGCATGTGGAGACTGTGATGATACTACCTCTCCCTGCTGTTCCTTTGGACTTCTAGCTGGAAGTGGAAAATGGGGGCTGCATTTTTGTCCTGAGTCAAAGAATCTGAATCTCTTAGCCGTTCTGTACCCCACAGCTAGAGTACATATTGCCTCTTTCTTTTTTTGCTTCAGGACAATGAAATGGTGAGGGAACTGCTCTATTGTTGTAGCATTTATCGAAGTCAGAGTCCTTTTAAATAAGGATTTATTTCTTTTCTCAGGGTGCTTTCCCAAGGAAGTCTTGTTTTCCATCGAATTACATGCAGTCATCTCCTAAGCTGAGGAAATGCAGTCTGCTTCTATTTGTCCAAAATCTGGGTCATTCTCAGTGGCTGAGGTTGTGGACAAGGTGTGAGATTTCTTACCTTGATGGCCCCTCAGAGGCGATGGTTTGAGGTGGCTGACATTTCACTGATTCTTTTCCACCTCAAGAGTCTTGCTCCTGTTTTCTTCCCCTTCTAATCCTTCAAATTAATTGATGCATCAGGACATGGCAGCCAAGGACGTATCTGTTCTCCATTTGCTTCTAAGGACAGCATCTATCATGGCAAATGAATTAGCATATACATTTCTTTTCTAGAAAACGTCAGATGGTGCTTTGGCCAGCCAAAGCCTGGTTTGCTAAAGTGTTGCCAATCCTTTATCACTTAAGATGCGGATCAATTGTCTGAATCTTTTTTTGGTCGGTGACTTCACTGTGTGTTGACATTTGCATGTACCCGAAGAGAAGTGCAGGTGATGTCAGGAAGAAACAGCCTCACACTTACTGCCTCCCTTAGTAGGAGGGTGTAAAACTCTGCTCTGGTGTTTCCTCAGGAAAATGAACTGTTTTACTTTAAAATTCAGGACATTTTCTTCTATTAGAAGTTGTATGCTTTTTTAATTTTTTTTTTTTTTTTTTTAATTTTTTACCCTTCTCCTGTGCACTGGAGCCTTTCAGATTCTCAACAATGGATTGGCTTGCCCAGCTCATTTGGATTATAGAAAGTTATTGTCTTTCGGTCTGTCATAATGCATTTGGCCTTTTTTTTTTCTTTTCTTTTCTTTCCTTTTTTTTTTTTTTTTTTTTTT